AAGACAGTGACTGCAGATTGGTACGTTAAGACTTGCTTGTCCAGAGTCTTAAAAAAAGTTCGTGAAAAGCGTCCTCGAAGCTCTGTCCTCCTTCACCTCCTCACATTCCGCTAACGCTAACAGAACGAAGGCTACAAATGTAGAACTGATGACGCATCCGCCTTACAGCCAGGAGCCGGTTTCCAAAATTAAACACAATCTTAAAGGCACACGTTTTACGAGCCCTGAATTGGTGGTGAAAACGTTCCATGAAGCCATTGAAGAGGTCCCTAGGGGAGACTAGTCGAACTGCTTTGTACAGTGGTTTCGGCGAATGCAAAAATGCATTATATATAATGAATATACTTTGAAAAACAATAAATGTCGTATATCTAGTCTTTTTTATCAGATATCCAGAAACTTTTAGTATGCCCTAAGTATAAGGTGGCCCAACAAAGTCCGGTGAAAACGTGATCAACTTAATAAGGAAACCGATGCCTCGAACGAGAGGAGTATTATATTTTTAAACGCTTTTTTTAGCTTCACCTGTATCGGTAAGTAACGGAATCTTTGAACTCAATTTTTACCCACTCTATAAGTTCAGATTAATTCGAAATTTTGCACACTTGTCAAAGATCAATGACAAAACAACAACTTAATAAATTTGTTCGATTATCCTGATCAAGATCTTCAGAACTAAGACTTAAATACCTAAAATACGGTTGCGTTTTATGCACTTGACTTGACTAAGACGTATACCGAAGCATATAATTATGACTTCCTAAATTTTTTTTCTTTTTCAGTCTAAAAATAATCATCGTTAAGGAGTTAAAAAAAATTCACGATAACATTATTTTTTTGTTAATCACTATCTATCTCTTTCTTTTCGAACTTATTAAAACTTATTTTCTACTTTTTAGTTGGGCTAGTTACAAAAGCGAGTTTTTTAAACTATTATTTATACTAATTGACAAGGGGCTCATGGCTAAGTGGTAACCGAGTAGGTTAATACATTGCAAGGTTAAGCAATCCTAGCCAGGTCGGTCTATGGATGGGTGGCCATTCTTAACACACTGCGGGGTTATGGTGCTCTCCGCGAGGGGCCGTATCTCGGAGAGCACTGTAACGGTCCCGGCTACCACACGAACATTTGTGGCTATCGTTACGAGTAGTTGGAGCCCTAAAAAGTCCGACAAGTCTTTTTACAGAACTTTGATATCGCCTAGTACTTGGGTCGTGGTCTCATAGCAGTCGCTCCGTATTGTAGAAGACTTAAAGCCGACCCTGACCTAGTTTAGCAAAAGGCTCGGAGAAATTGCGATACTAATTTTATTGACCTTAAAAGGTTCTCATTTTGGCTCGTCGTGGTCTTAGTTTGTGTCGTCTGGTTTCAATGTTTGTTTTATTTCAACGTTGGTTGTGAACTGGTGTTTATTTTTTTAGGGTGCTTTAAGAAATAGGTGATTGCCTTGAAGTCAAATTTATTTATTTTTGTAAAATCAAACATTGCGGTGCTGTAAAGACAATAATAATATTAATTGTCAATTGAAGTGAAGCCATAGACATACCTATTTGTTTGGTAGCTTTATATTTTTCCCGAAGTTGGTAAAATTATCCATTTGTATATTAAGCTATAGTCCATAAAAACACACCATTACAAATCCAATGTATTTTAACCTTTTATATTCTTTTATTTTGTATATAGTTTACACAAATTTCTTCTTACATAAAACATCATTAATTTGATTTGTGTGTTTCGATATAGAACGACAACAATATAAGTTATGAAACAAGAACTCAAAGAAGAAAATTATTTTCATTTTACGATACGTCAAACTATGGTTTTCGTTCTTGTATGATATACCGAGCTGTGACGTCATAACTCGCTATGGTATTAGTTTTGTTGTGGTGTACTTTGTTTTAAAAGGCTTAATACACTTGATGTCCTGAGGACGATTTACTCATTAATTTCATACATAGGCTGCTATCTTATTACAAATTTAAACTAGTTTCTGGTGAAGCATATATTTATTAGCGCTAAAGGATTCTGGACTCAAGGGATTGATAAGGAAAACACATATTGAATATTAATCACTCTTATATTCACATCGTGTCTTACAATATTTACACATATACAAGTATTACCGTTGCCCTAAATATCAGGTCAAAGTATACTATTATCAGAATCTACATTTAAACACAACTGTTACAGATAATGAGGACAAACCTGACATAACACATAATGCAGTCTATTCAATTTTCAACTTATTTCTTTAGTCATGAAACATATGAAAACAATTCGTGTATTTTTATTGTTTCAAATTTGAATAATTTGTAATTTGTTATCTCCCATTAACAGATTGCAATACATTTTTTTCGATTACATAGCAATTAAGGTATATACTTTTTGCATATATATAGAAAAAAAAACAGTATGGTTTTGATCCCTCTGTTTAAAAGTTAATTTTATGTTTGAAATCGTTTTTTTTTAATCTTGAAATATCCTTCACAGACAAATATTTCTATAAGATTTTTTTGTAATAGAAATAAATTCATAAAAAAGTTGCTGCATGACCAAAATCATGTTTATTTATAACCTTTAAATTTTTCAAATACCTAAAACGGACATGACAAAAAACTAAACAAATAATGCATTGTAACAGATTGCATGAGCTGCACCGATGGCGTACTTATAGTCCATCAACGTCGTGCGCGACCTTCCTGCGGGGTGACAGACGGTGGCGGGGACGAGGTACTCAAGTGGTGTAGCGGGGAAGGGAATCGTGTGTAGCCGTGTGCTAGAATGACGCGCTACCTCGCCCCCGCCACTGTCTGTCACCCCGCGGGACGGTCGCGCACGAGATTGCCGGGTATAGTAGTTTAAGCGGTCACGCTTTTCAAATTCCACGCGATCGAAGTCGCGGGCACCAGCTAGTATACTAAAAATGTGAAAGTGAGTTTGTTTGTTTGTTTAACAAACTTTCACGCCTAAACCACTTAACCGATTAAAAAAAATCTTTCACCGATGGAAAGCTAAAACTTCAGCGAGTAACAAAGGCTACTTTTTACATTACCGCCGACAAAGCTAGTACAAAAAATAAAATAAAAACAACTGAGGTAATATAAAATGGTGTGCTATAGGTAGAAAAGATAAAATTATTGTGTATTATTGGTAAAATTATTGTCAAGTTTCGACAAAACGGATGAACGAATAAATAAACGGACGAATAAAGGCCGTATCTTAAACTGAACCAGTAAACAAATATGACAGGGATCTTAATTATAGCGTAAATGGAAACTTTAAAATTAGGTATATCGTTGTGCTGCGGTTGTAAATAATTTCTGATGAAACGTTTCTACATCGTCAAATCGTTTAAAGTCTATTGAACTTTGTCAGTACTTTCTGATATCTGATTTAATTATAAAGTATTATTGGTTCATTCATTCAATTTTATACTAATTACTATTACAGTAAAACCTTTATTATTTTATTCAAAAATTAAAAACGTATTAACAGATTGTACAATTTCTACATATAATTCGTTATTTATTTAATTTATGAAAAGTTTTCTATTTAAAATTTGAACGATTGATTATTTTGTATGTATATGAATCTCACAGTATAAAAGTCCACAGATAAAAATACAATTCGATTCGCAATAGACCAAAATATTGTGCGGCAGAAGTTTTCTAATTAAACAGTTAACAGCTATAATTGTTTCTATTCCAGTCTTAATTACAATAATCTAACATTTAATAAACGTTTTAATAAACTCTGAGGCACATTCAATATTACGTATTATACAGTCGCTATAATTATATATAAATATTTACAAAATTTATCTATTCTAATATGGCAGTTATGAGGTCTTCGAATAAACACGACGATTATATTATCTAACATGCGAAAGTTTTTTACATTTAAACGTTTTAGAGAACTGACATATTTTTAATGAAGGATAATATTTATCACATATTTGTTTGTAATTCTTGCCATGCCTTTAAAGGGATCTGTTATCTTTTGCTACACGCAACGGTAGATAACAGGTTTATTTAGCAAACATCGAGTTGAAGTTTTGAGTTTGAATTATTAGACACTTAAAGATTTATACTGTTTTGCATACGATATATATAAATAACGGACGCTTCTATTTAATTAAACCACGCGTGAATTTTTTTGAATTTTTACAATTTGATTATATTGTCTAATTGATATTTAATGTATTTAATACATAGGCAAGGAGAATCCTTGTAAAAAGTCTTTTAAAAAGGTCGACTATTTTTAAAAACTTAGGGCAAAAATTGTTCGTTGTGTCTTAATGAGTCAAATCGGACTTCACGGGGTTTTTCTCACCACTAATAAAAAATCTATTCCTTTCAACAGTAGATGAACGAAATAGTCACAAGAGAAAACTTCAAATGAAGTAGTTTTATAGTATCTTTTTGTGTAAATACATATTTTCAGACATTTACACGTCACGAACAATCACTGCACGTCGATATCTTTAAAGGTGGTGCCGACATGACTAGACTTGAGACATGAAGAAACAACCAAACAAACTCAACGATCCTAGTCTACATAAATTGAAACGGCAAATGCTACATATGTAAATTCAGACCTAATTACTATACACAAACATCATCATAATCTGCCACATATATATGTAATCAATAATGTGCCAACAACCCGTCGCGTCTGTTATGTCAGTATCTCTTTCAAGTCTTGTTACTAAAGACTTTGTTTGCAAATATAACAAATATAAAAATTCGAGAGCAAAACAGTAATTTTCGGACCAAAAGTTTTAAGATTAAAACCAAATATGTGATAACTATGATAATAAAATAATTTACAGTTCAAATAAAATCATGAAGAATCAGTCTCTTGATAATTTCACATGTCACCAGTCACTTAGTCGCTCGCACCTCACTGTAAGGCCTCTTGAATGGCGCATCTCACTACTATTAAAGTTATTTAACACTTTATTGTCGTCTTTGGATGTCTTTACAATAAAAGGAATGGTTTACACGAATCTCGTCAACTGTGTGTGGAAGTCCCGTAGGAAGATCTGTAGTTGCGGCAACGTCGGTCGGTCGTCAGGCGACATTGCCCAGCAGTACGCCATCACGGCGAACCTACCAAAAAAATTAAGAGATTAAAATCTTTAAATATGTATCTCCGTACATACGTCCTTCAAAGGACCAAGATGTCTCGTTAAGTGAGTTAAGATAATAAGATTTAAAAAAGGCGGCATTCATTCTCTAGTTAATCATCAAAACGGGTGTTTTGTTACATTTATATAAAACTAGCTGACCCGCGCAACTTCGTCTGCGTCTCTCAATAGTAATAAATTTTCTCCGTTTTTGAAACATTCTTCATTGGTGCTCCGCTCCTATTGGTCTTAGCGTGATGATATATAGCCTATAGCCTTCCTCGATAAATGGGCTATCTAACACTGAAAGAATTTTTCAAATCGGACCAGTAGTTCCTGAGATTAGCGCGTTCAAACAAACAAACAAACAAACAAACTCTTCAGCTTTATAATATTAGTATAGATATACTCACAGTTCATCAGGACAGTTGGCCGGTTGTTGCAACCGATAGCCGTCTCTTAGGTACGCAGCGACCTCGAATGGATCCACTTCAGCATATGGTTGATGAGCTAAAGTAGTTAGTTCCCACAATAGCACTCCCAATGCCCACACATCTGCTGCTGGGCTAAACTGTCTCTTCGTTAAAGCCTCTAAAGCTAACCATTTAATAGGCCTGTTTTCATTATCTCCTAAGCAATGGTAGTCGGCAGGGAAGAGATCTCGCGACAGAGCATTGTCTGCAATCATCACTCGAAGATTTTCATCCACTCTGTGAAAAAAAGATTGGTTATTTTTTTGTAAGGTTAAATAAAGACCGTCTAATAAAAGAAGATTATTATACCGTATAATTAAAAATAAAATCTTAACTTACATGCAATTTCTAGCAGCAATATCTTTATGCAAAACATGCTGAGAATGAAGATAACTCAGGCCATCTAGAGCATGGAGTGCCATCCTAACGACATGCTGCGTGGTCAAAGGCGGAGGAGGAGCTCCTTGTACTGCGCCACCAACTGCAACCCCTCGGCATGCCAAAAGGAATAGTTTCAAGTTCCTCCAGGTGGAATTCCATGGGTATAGGAGGAATGGAGCCGTCTGATCTTCGATACTAACGCCGAGAACAGATAGCACACGTTCGTGATGTAGTCCATAGAGCATACAACCTTCTTGAAGAAGCAATGATACCTAGAAATTTTTTATAATCAGATAATGTTGCTTGTGATGATGAAAATGCGATGATGAAAACTTTAAGTTCACTAACAATTACCTGTACTTGAGAAGCATGTTCTGCAACGGTCTTTACTAGCACTTCTTGTTCCCTAGCTTCTTCATCAGCATAAGTCCCTCTGTAGACTCTACCGAAGGTCCCTTCCATCGCGACCGAACGCAATCTCACTCGACATCTCTGTATTGTTAACTCGGCAATTCTTTGCTGCAAATCTCTTGCTTTTTCTTCAGATGCCGCTGCGGGTAATGATGTAGGACGGCGGTAACTTGTGTAACTGGCAGCGGACTTGCACGAGGAGTCAGGTAAAAATGCATGAGCATCTTGTTCGTCACTCCTTGCCCGACGCAATTTCCTAGCCCTGGCCCTGCATGCCGCAGCGGTTACTGCAGCTATCAAAAGGGCTCCGCCAGCGCAACCAGCACCCGCATAAAATATATCAGCAGACGTAGGGGCATGCGGTACACTATCGACTCTTACCGCTGGTTTCGGTGCCTCTTTAAGACATATTTTTTTCCGTCTAAAATGTAAAGTGGTGGATGAAGAACCTATCGACACATTCAAAGATATGGTGATGTCTACTTCAGCAGCGACGGTGTGCGTACAAGGCAAGTCAACGCGCCATGTTTGTGGTTCAGTGGGCACGTATCCCTCGCTTGAAATATTTAACGTCGGTGGGTGCATCGCATCTTGAGGAAGCACGGAGTCAACATGTGTACGTACTAGCTCCACATTCAGCGTATATGGTAACTGCAACAAAACAAAAAACATTGTGATTCGTGCCAGTTTTGGGACATATCCAAGTGAAAACATTACACATTCCTAACGGTACAATTTCATCACGATGTAACTGTATCAGTACTGACAATTGACGGACAGACACCGGCATGTAAGTTGACCTAAACGGTCTGTCTGGGATCCAAAGTTATGCCTGAAGAGATCAAATGTCGAATGTAACGGTGAGAGCACGAACATCGCTCCTTTATCGGTTGCATAAATAACGAGCCTAGTTTGTTACCAATGAGCACCGCCTATAATCGCTTATGCAGATGGAATGGAAGGTTGGTACGATGTACTTTATGTTTCCCATATGTGGATGACGTGAATGTATTGCAACGCACCGGGCAGGTATGTTGTTGAAATATTTCAGAATTTGTTTAGAAACCAGTTATTGGATATTTGATCACGAGCCGCTCATTATCTAACTAATCATGGGGCGGCGTTACATGCATTGTTAAAGAAACAGCATTCGCCGCTGGCTCTTAGGCCGGTTACATTACAACGGAGGCGTGCACAGCGGCCTTAGATCATAAAGCAGTGTAGGTGCGACACCGCAGCCGCTAATTAAATATTATCACTCGGCACTCAGTGCGCACAGACAATAGTGCCGAGGTCTCTTATAGGCGCTATTTAACCAGTTCCCAAATATTTGCTCAGACTAGTCAAAGGCCCCGCCTGTTTAATAAGGGAGTCGGAGTGAAGTGAAGGGGTCTGGCAGATCTGATACTAGAGGCCGCACAAAGCTTACTGAGATGTTGATAGTGCGGCAAGGGCTCAACTACGTGATCGCAAACGAACCATACGCAGCACATTTTTTACCAAGCGCCTTTAGTATAAGAGGCGTCACCGCGTCGCGGTACTATCAAAAGAACTATTTACATTCACATTTATCTAGGTCACTTATAATGGAACTGACGCGACCTGAGTACTTAATCCAACAATTACTTTAAGCATATATACATAAAATAAATAGATGTTAAACCGGAGATGTTACAGATGGACGTCATGAATATATTTAAATTGATGCAACATTCAGTAATCTTGCGAGAGTCCATACGACTTGCAAACATCGTCCTAAATAAGCAGATGTTTTGTTGACAAGTTGACTGAACTTGTTTGTTTCGGATAATCCTTTTGTTGCTTACTTACTATTGAATATGTAAAACGGACGTCGCCGTCGCGTCGTTCTCGATCAAAATGCAACAACGTGATTTCTTTTAGTTTCGATTCATTCCGTTGCCGAGTGTGCTGACGACGGATAAAATAAATAAATGCACATAATATTTGGTTAGAGATGCGAAGGGCCCTACACGCAATGTACTCGTATAAATGTGATATGGCGTCGTGAGCAGCCGGCAACGGCATTAGCATGAAAAGCGATACAATTTGAATTACCGCTAAATAAGGAAAGCTAAGGAGTATGTATACATTTGAATAGGTATAATCAATCAAAAGTCGGAGCAGATGTTGCTGTTATAGATATAATTTTATGAACCTAAAAGGTTTCCTAGTCCCAGCGATGGCTCCATGATTACCATAAGAATAGCTCGTTTGCAGAGCTCAGGGAGTAAACATGACCGAGCTCCTATCCACAACGTAAAATAATTTCCCTTTGCAAGTTATTTACTTTCATGGAAGTTCGTAAACAATGATGCTGTATACTTGCAAAAAGATATAAAAACTCATCCAAATCGAAACGAAAACAATTCGTTAATTGTGAGTAAAGAGTTGTTGACTTAGGACGTGAGGTGAACGATCATCAATTTGCATTAGTTTCGCAACGCATATTACCATAATACATAGTACGATTGTTTCATCGAATCGATTGTTCGTTTAAGCACCTACGCACACTTCTATTTCTATATTTAAATAATAGATATTTTATTAAGTTATAGCCTTTAATGGGCAGTCGTCCCATGTTAATTAGTTAGGAAAACGATTACGTCTTTAGATTTCACCTTGAAAAAGATGTCTAACTTTACACTGCTAAAAAGGTTGTATTAATGAATATTTGTTTGTTTTGTTAATTTTTTTAAACTCACACGCCTCAAATACGGCTGACTTATTCTAAACTAGGCAAAGCTTGTACTGAGGTAATCACACTTCTAACATATTTAAATATTTTTAAATACATACATATTAAAGATAAATTACACCCAGACAAAAAAAATATCGTGCTCATCACACAAATATTTGTCCTGGGTGGGAATTGAACCCACGACCTCCGGTTTAGCAGTCAGGGTAGACATACAGGGTACAATTTCTATGTACGAGTAAGTCCGCATTTGGAATAAAAGTGAGATCAGAAACAGTTTCTTTGTGAATTAAAATATATTTTACCGGTTTCCTGGTAAGACTCTGCCAGGTGAAATGTAGTTCTCCAATGGTAGCAGGTACTGGTACGACGAAGTTGAGTGCATAGAAGTTGATTTGACCATCACGCACGTAAAACAGCTCTGCGGTTAAACCTGGTGAGAAAGAGAAATGCAGGTTAAATAATGAACAACTATACGTGAACAAGCTTTTTTTATGGTATAAGGGGGCAAACGAGCAGGCGGGATGGTAAGCAACTACCGCCGCCCATGGACACCTGCTTCTCAAAAGTCACAAGTTATGTAAATTTTGAACAGCCCTTTTTGACTTATGATATGTAATTTATTAGAAATAATTATTCAAGTTAAGTTAAAACTTTACTATCGTTTCTATAGTTATAGTTATTTATTACTTACTTTTACACGCGAGTTATATCTACTGTTTTTTTTTATTCCATGATTTTTATATATTTTTAAGTGAGAAAAAATTCTAAAGGCCCTTAACATACATTGTACAAAATTGCTCAAGGTATGGGCAGTTTTTTCAAGCGTTCAGTTGATAGTAACTAAACTCAAGATATCATCTACAATATATTAACATATAAGAATTCATTAAGGCATTATCTAGCTATTTCTTTTGTCATCATTAAGACAATAGCTTAGTAAAGAATGAATAAACGCCTTTGGTTCCCATTTACCAAGAACAGTACTTTGTGTTGAGGGAAATATGACCTCAGTCAGTCTGTACAATCATACAAAGATTTTCTGAACACTACCAAATCTATTGAGGGCTTCACAACAGATCAGCTCACATCAATATCGTACAATTTGACGCAAAAAAGTTGAGAGTGCACGCGCACAATGCTGCGGCAAGATCAAAGAGCCGAGCACAAAGATACCGCGATACGAAGCCCGCGCCACCTGTCTACAAATCATGAGAACCTGATTTAGAGAAAAAAAAGTTCATGGCCAAAAACTGACTACCGAGGCTTTTTTGTTTGCAAAATCTTATTCGGATCGACACGAAACCGTTTCTGGATAAAGTGAAACATCAAAGTTCTAGAGCTAAATCGGAAAAGAAATGGGCACTAATTTGAAAAATTGTTAATTTAAATTCGAGCTAAATAACAGAAAACTACTTAAATTTACAGGTTAACTAGCAAGTTATCTTTCACGAAAAACACATTTTTCACAAACAGTTGATGTTAGGAAATGATCAATTTAAAAGGATACGATGAATGTTCTCCCACATTACCTTTGTGCACATTAAGAATAGAATACAAATTCGCAAGTAAACGATAATGATTACTAGCAGGACCCACCTGGGATCCTGCTTCTGCTCTGCTTCTATTTCTTTGAAAATTTAAATGTTGTTAAAAAAATAATGAGCAATGATATACGCAACTTTAACATTTCAGATCGGTTATTAACGGATATTTTAGGTCGTACCAGACAGAGATTCCTTGCGAGTTTTTTTTATAAATCAACTTTATCGAACAAGATTTCTCATACAACTTAATTTTACCCAGTTACTAAAAAACTAGTTAGTAGTCACAAATGAGCAATGGCTGTGTTTCACCGTAGATAAATATTGCCTAATAAGAGCTTCCTGCGTCGCGACTCGCGACACACGGACGGACGCAGAGCGGACACATTTCTTCGAAATGTTCAACTACCAGCTTATTATACATGCTCATTATAGACCGTATCATGTTTAGAGATCATTTTTTTATATTATTTTTGAGAAACATTTTTAGGAAACAAGTTGTTTTAATTTACGACAAGGTAGTTGTTGACTTGAATTATTAAGTATTTAGTTTTTGTATAAAAGATAGGTGTAATAGGTGAATATAATATGATAAACAGATCAACGACTTTAATTTTAATTCAGAGAAATGATTTTAATTATTGTTAACTTACTCTTATTTCAAATATTCTTTTAGAAAATGTTAGTAGTTAATTGCTTTGACACACACCACACGATTAATGCCAGTATAAGTACAAACATTTATTGCAGCTTTCATCAATAAATAAATAAGTAATTCATTTAAAACTAGCTGTACCCTGCCACGCTTTGTTGTGGCATATTGTGCTTTCGATAAGGAATGAGGTACAAAACGAATGCCAAAAAATAGAATAGATAAGAACAATCTTTGAAGCGGGTTGTATATCGTGTCAAAATATAAACTCAATCGGTGCAAAACTTTTTTTAAGTTTGAAGTGTACACAAACCAAATTAATATATATAAATTATTTCATACCTGTATCCCCTTAGTGATAGACAGGGACAGATAAAAATTAAAGATATTGCTTATTTATGTACAAATGGATTGGAAAGCGTAAACCTAAACTCGAACTGGCTCTTGCCGTGAAATCACTCTACATAGACAAAATTTATTTTCTAAAATATTATGATTAAAAAAATTAAAGTAAGAAGCAACTTAATTCTTTTATATATATCATGTCACATCTGTTACGGTCGTGATTATCATAAACAAGTTTTAATATTGTGACCGGTTCTACATAACCGCAGCGACAGGATGCCGCCGTTATGATAGCAGGGCTATTAGCAATTAACATATAATAATAACGTCCTATCTAAATATTTGTAACTTTACCTGAACATGCAAATGACCACGGCAATATGTATGTGATTATATTAGTAATTTTAACGCTGGTAATGGGTATTTGTTTATTCGAGGCGCGATAGAAACGATTAACCGCTAACGAGTGACAATAAACAACGATATAATTTGCATACGGGCCGTACCCGCATCGACTTGCGACAAATCGTTACGAGCTGCGCAAGGGCTGAGCTACGATACACCATACTTAGGGTTGCCCCTCCGTCAACAATTTCTTACACACGTTACACAATTATGGGTGTAATTATTTATTAGCATATTTATATACACTAAATATTTGAAATTAGCTTCTCCTCGAAGTCAGGATGGCCACCAACACTTTCTCATTCTAAACTAAAGTAAAGCAGTATCTTGTACTGCAGTACAAATGCAGTACTATTATTAATGGTATTTATTGACGTATGTGTGTATTTGTATGTTTATATGTAGTAGTTTATTTAGGTAAATATATGTGTGTATAATGTATGTTAGGTTTATGTATGCGTATTTGATATTATCACTACAAACAAACTTTAACCAAAATGCACCTACTCGTACTTCCTGTTTTCTCTGCATCAACCAAAGGTTGACTGATAAAGAATGCCTTATGTATTAAGTCCGCCAATGCACCAAAAGTGCATGATGTGTAAATAAATATACCAGTAACACAGAAAGTTAAGACGAATTCTAGCTATTTCTTAGCTTCCTAACGTCACTGCTCTACCGGAGTAGATTCGGTGTGGAGTACGGGTACTAGCACTTTAATATTCACTTACTTGTTTACGTTTGCAAACATTGTTCAAACAAGTCCAACAGCTTCTTTTAATTGCTAAGGAATCTGCGTTTAGCATTGACAGCCTACGTGAGAAGATCTCCCAGCGAGCGTAAAATGCATAGGCTACTAAACAGTCTCTTATCACAGTTGATGCGAACACCTAAAACGCTCTTTAGTATACTGATTAAAGCATATGTGAGGACAAACCCATGGGCCTTTAAGATTGTGAGCTTTTGGATCGCAAACATTTAATACCGTTTATTTTTTTCTTTGCGACGGCAACCCTAATACTGAGACATAATTTACGACTATAAGCATCTACACTTTATTATGCTGTATAGTTTTATTTAATTGACGGGTTGGGTTTAAGTAGGAGTATGTTCTTAATTTACAGCTTATCCAGATAAGGCGCATCGTAGTGCCGTCTATTCCGTTTATGAATAAAAAAACAGATTCAGAAAGGCGAATATATAAGAAGACACAAGCCAAATCGGCAGGATTTGAAATCGAGACGCGTCACAGTTTAAAAGGAAAACATCAAAAAGCAGCTTTGACTTACAGAAATTCTGGCTTCGGTTAGGACATGGAATTATTGTATTTTGAATATTTAAAACAAATTTCCACCCGCGGCTTAGTAAGTAAGCCACGATATAGGTTTCCCTGCCCTGGCGATGTGTCCATTTGTAATTTATGACTAACTCAGAAAATCAATCGGTGTTTTAAATTGCATCTATTTTCATAAAAAACACTAAAAGAGAATCAATTCCTCACACATACAACTAACTTTCTTTTTACTTTTTATTATAATGAGATAAAAGCATTTTTAAAATTATACTTCAGACAGGTTAAAGAACTTTCCAATGGAATCTTATTTATTTCAACAAATTCAACAACCGGTGTACGTACTGGCTTATCTAGTTAAGATATCTCACTAAGTTAAGCCAATACCTGCATGCTGTTAATAGATTGTTTCCACGAAATAGAATTTGAATCTGGTTAGATGTATAGTTTTAGAGTTGAAATCGTCTGGCCTTATCTCTAACGAAACGCAATAAAATATAAATACGTTTGACACAAAACTATATAGTTACATTCCCACATAGGTAATAAGCTGCAAGAGTGCTACCGTGCGCGGTGTCTTTGATGCGGCGGCAGCGGGGCGAAAGGCCCACTTGATACGACAAATAACTATCTGAGATAACTGGCACTCGCCTCCACCGGCGCCCGTTTTTTCTGCTTACCAAAACTAATTCCTCGAGACGCTAACGGCTCCTTTTTGCTTCTTATCGCAGATCCTAAATACCGCTCAGATTATACAACCAAAATTCTAATAATAAAATTTAATAACTCGAATACCGCCGCGAAGAAATCGCGTGCGCCTCACTATTGAAGCATTTTACATTCGCACCTCAGAATAAAAGCCTTCATTACATTCGTACAAAACCCATTTGTGAGGAGTAAAATAGAAAGACGCACAATGGCCGCGTTGATATTTCGTATAGAAAGTTCCCCTTCGAGGAACGTTGGATGTAAAGATTTTTAGGGCACAACAGAAGCTTTATTGTGGAATTATACGAACGAGGCGTGCAAGAAAATAAAACAATGCTCAAAGGTGTCGCTGTCGATAAAAATGAATGTGAGAATAGGGAAGAGCAAATATTTCTAGTATTTGTACTTTAACCATAACTTAGAACAACGGCTCGTATTTATTTGTATATCCGCTAAGCGTAGATTAATGTAAATATTTATAGAAAGTT